AGAGATGTTCCATCTGATCCTCTTGTGCCTCGGCTGGAACTGCAGGGATGGAGTCCAAGTCCGACCGAAACCGAGCAAGAATTAATTCTTTTATTGATTTTATAATAATGACAAAAATGAAAAAGCCCCCCAAAACCTTTAAAAGGTTTTAAAAGAGGAAAAAGAAAGGAAAGGGGAAAAAAAGTACAGTTGAATCCATATAGTTATCTAATGCAGTTATTATTCAAGCACATATAAATTTCTAATACATTTATTAAACTATTATCTTTAACTTATTCTATTTTGTGTAAATGAGTTCCATATTTCATTATTTTTGTCCATGCAAAAATCTATGCCTCTAGATACCTCATTGTTAGTTGGAAAGTGAAATTAAGTTGTTGATCTACTATGTGAATGGAACCATACATGCCTTTTCTAGTGCTGTAATATTAATTTTCGGCCATAAAAAGGGCATAAAGAATCAATTTATGTTGTCTGGTTATCTTCTGAAAAATATACCTTTGTTGCCCGTATACCTATGCTTTCTGCTTAAATGTAGTGAGTGCAAAACAGGTTAAAAAGTATTTTAGAGAAGCATATCCTTTTTATCTCCCCCCCAAAAAAGGTGTTTCTGAGAAATAAATGCAATACAGTCCAAAACAAATACAGAGAAAAAGTTTATTTCAGTATGGAAGGAACAAAAAAAGAACTCAAGAAAAAAGTTCACTTATAGAAGAAGAGGGCACGAAGTTAATGGGCAAGAGGGTGAAAGTAGAACTGCTTAATTCCTTCTTTGCCTCTATCTTTAGACTAAAGGAAAAAATTGCCCAACCTATCTAAAGCAGCACTGTGAAGGACAAAACAGGAATTCAGGTGAAAAAATGAGTCATTTTTAGAGAAATTGCAGCAAACATAGGATGCTAAGAAAATAGAACACATCTTCCATATTTTTTGCCCCAGACAGCAGGCTTCAAGTCAAAACCTTTTTATTTTCCCTTTTTAAAATACTTTCCCCCATTTTTTTTTGTTGATTAGGTGGTAAATATCATTCAGCTGAATATTTACTTTTGAGAATGTACAACAACAAACAATAACAACAACAACAACCAAGCCAGTTTGGTCTAATACTAGAAAGAGGAAGACCAAGAATTCAAGTCTTGCCCAAGCAATGAAAGCTAGCTGGGTGACTTTGAGCCAGTCACTCTCTACCAGTCCAACTCACATCACAGAGTTGTTGTTGTGGGGTTGTCAAGGAGGAAAGTTTGCTGCCTGGACTTATTTGTAAAAAATAATAAAGGTGGGATATGAATAAACAAACAAACAAATAAATATAAGAAGAGATATTTTGACGAAATCTCAGAACCCGTTCCAGAAGACAGGCTATTTTCTAAGAAACATAGAACATTCTCCCAACCAGGATGCTCCTGGGGCATCCTGACCTCAGAAAATTTTGCACTTCCCTTGAATTTATAACCAATCTCTTTCCTAACATCCCTCTCTCCAAATAAAGTTGGTGTTTGAAGAAGTGGTTGGCAAATCCTAGTCATAAACCTTCCTGATCCTTATTTTTAGGTACCTCCCCAACAGTGAAACGTTGTCAATGAGGTCACAATGGGCTGGACATGACTTCACAACCAACAACAACAAAGCCAATGCCAAATACTACTGTGGCCTTGTTCTGTAACTTTCTGTAACTTTCTTTATCATGATTTTAAATTCTGTACAATATATTTTATTCAGTTAGATTGAAACAACATATACCAGGAAATTGGCTTGCATTATACTTACGACCTAAAACATATACTCTGGGAACTATTAAGTAGAAGCCTGTGATGCCCTTTGCTACTTTGGAATGCACTCCCTCGGTCCTTGAAATCTGGACAACATTTCACCAAAATGCCTCTGAGAACATGGATTATGAACTCATGCAAAGAAGATAAATGTTCCCAAACAGGCATACATTTTAACAGCATGACCAACTGCATCTTAATAAATTTTCTTTATTTTCTTGCAAACTTATGTTACGTCCTGTTTCTGTATTGGCATGAAATCAATATTTTGTGGTAAACATTTTGTTACACAATAATTATAACCAGTAGTACAAGTCTACATATAATTGGAAGAGGTTATATGAATGAACTATGCTCATATGGTACATGAATTAATGTATCATATGATTTTTGGGCAGATATTTCTATATCACAGGAACTTTAAATATTCTTTTTCCTGGATTTTAGCAGAAGTGTTTGCCAAATAGACAAGTGTTTCACATTTGTACATTGTATGCCCATTATATTTTTCTGATTTGTGATTTCTGGGCAATAGGACACTTTCCCACTGCCTGTTTTCCAAGCAGAGTGTTAAACATTGTGTGATATTTTCCCTTTGTTCCAAAATCCTTGTTGTGTTCATTGAATCTGATTGTTCTTTCTTATCATAGCAATTCAAGATTTGTAGTTCAATAGATATATACTAACCCCAGATCTCTACCATTTTCTTTTGTTGTACTTTGGTTCATGCAGTTCTCAAAATATTATTGTTCTGACAATAAATATGGACCGATATGTTTGTTTTGTCATCTGTTGTTTAAACTTTCTCCCTTCAGTTTGGATGAAGTAGCAGACTTCATTGATAACATTCTTAAAAAGCCTGATCCCATAAACGGATCATTAGAATCCATTTGAAAAAGAAACATGGATGGTAATTTTGTCATACTAAAGAGACTAAGTCGATTTTGAAATGCTGGCATAACACTTGCAATAGAAGTGTTAAATACTTTGAAAGCAAATGAAAATTGTAAGGACAAAGTGGGTCTTCTACAGGTTCTTTATTGAAAACCTACTTTAGGATTTCTAACTTTTCCCTATGTGCAAGATCAACCTATAACAACAATCATGAAAACATTCGTATCAGAGATTTTTCCACCGCACCCAAACTAAATTTGAAACTGAAACTGATTATTATATGGTTCTATATTTTCTGGCTCAAAAACTGAAATTTGTGAGATTCATAGTATAAGGAATAGTTGATTGATAGAGGGATGGATTATTGGAAGAGTGAGAAAGAATTATATTGTTTTCTTTTAAATTTTTCATTTTCGGGAACATCAATGTATTCTGGTAGGCTTTTTCTATATACTTGAGCATTGTCAACATTATCCTTTCCTTTCCTGTAAATCTCCTTTATGTGATTTTCCTGTATTTTCATTGGTCTCAATCAGTTTTTATATACCTTTTACAATCTTTTTATTTAGACAAAAAAATTGTCTTAAATGCCCAATCCTTTTTTTTTTCTTTTTTTTTTGTTCTCCTAAGAATCTCCACAACTTAAGTTCAGGGTAAAGAGTTTTCCTTGCAAACAAAATATTATATTTTAAAGAATACTGTCCCTGCTTTCATATTAGAGGAAAGTGACTTTTGAGGGAAGAGTGTTGGCATGATATTCTCTAGCATCAGTAAAGGTTTAAAAAAAAAAACAGGAATCCTAATAAAAATGTGAGGATAACAACAACAAAAAGGGAGTAAAATGAAATCAGAAGATACAAAAAAAAACATTCAACATTTTTTGGTTACCAAGAAATGACTAACTAGCTGGTATTATCATGGAGAGGTATATGTCAATGTAGATAACCTAATACTCAAGAGCAAAAATTTCTCAAACTTTTTCTGTACATAGGGAGAAGGCAAGAGTAGGTATGGTTCCAAGGCAAGAGAAATAAGTTAGAATTACTATATTATACCAACTACAACATGTAAACTAGATACGTACAGATTTCACACAAACAAAATTTCTATAAAACTCCAGGGACTGGTAGACTTGGAGGAAGAGTATTATTTGCCTGCTAATTAGGAAAGTGACTCTATTCCAGTTCTGTTTCTTTTTAGCAGTAGCACTGCTGTATAAAGATTACTGCTGGAAAAGGAGATCAGAAGTGCAACTCTTTGACAAGAGCCCTCACAATTCACCTTCTGCCCCTGGAATCTCAGAGATTAGCTGAATTCATAAAAACCTTCTGCATTTAATAATCCAAATGTTTACCTTTATCTTTTTATTTATAAAAAGAATACTTTCCCTCCCTATTCTCATCTTTAGTAGATATTTCCCATTAGCTCTACTTCCTTGCAAAGGTGACAGCCACATGTTGTTCACCAAATACTTGAACAGGTGGGATGGTGGCTCAAGACTGCTGGCGGTTAAAATAATTCTGCTCTTCTTCTTCCTTCCTGACTGTGTCAATGAGCATTTGAAATCCATCTGCATCCATCCTTCCAAAGCTCGAAACAAGATTAGCACCTCCAAATCTCAAATGATACTTGGAGGATTTATTTCCCTTATGTATATTGATGAAGTGATAGAGAGTTTAACAAAAGAGCCATACTCCGCCAAAACTGGACAGTAAGTACCCCTTTCATCTTTGAATAAAGTGCAATAAAACTTCAGAAAAAGGGGATAGAATGTATAAAAGAGCATAATTTGGCATCAAATGTGGCACTGCTCCCTTGGCTGTCACATTTTGGCATTTTCAGCATGACTTCAACTGAGAAATCCTTCGGAAAATGGAAAGTGGGATTCTCTGCATATTATTAATGACCATCTTAGAGATCTAGAATTATAAAGCTGCATTTTAACATAAACTCTCAAAAATTGAATTTTGAAAAAATTCTCCAAGTCTTTTCTTTCCTATACCACAAGAATGGAAGTAGCACTGGATTCATGAAAAATGTGATCTTTTGATTCTAAATCTTTTTCAATAGAGAAAATACCTGGCATATTTCTAAGATTGATCTATTTAGGATTCACAAACTGAAATTGAGGCAGTTGCAACTCTTTCTAGTAACATTTTTAGGAGCTGAATTTTAAAGGGAATACAATTCCAATTGCTCATATTATGTCCATAAATTGTTTACAATTACAGATTATAGTAATCAAATTATTGATTGAAGTATGTAGTTACAAATTAATTTTTATAGCAGTTGTAGAAAGAATTACATAGAGAGGTGATTCATTTCGTTCAGTGTTCTTGGAAAAACCTTTCCACAAGAATGAAAGAAAGAAAAACTGCAAATTGGGACTCCAAATTGAAATGTTATATCTGATCATGTAATTTACTACATAACAATAAGATAGATCCACCAATTTTTAACTGAAGAAGTTATACACTGGTATTCCTAAACTTTCAAAGACAAACTCGGGATCTTTTAATAGATGACTTTACTAAGAAATGCATTTTTGTATTTGTTAGGAAAAGGACTTGCAATTTTCCTCTCCAAACCATTTGCCTGGAGGTTTACATCTTGCTGAATGTTTCCTCCTAAAAGATTTGAATAGTTTCTGCACAATTAATAAGAATAATAGTGATCAATTGGTTAAGAGAAATTAATTTATTTTTATACATATCTTTTAAAAAAGAGTAAATCTCATCCAACCTTGTAAGCTGCTTTTCACGTGTGTCAAACTGCAACAAAGTTTTATAATTGGTTGGGTTCAATTACAATCTCCTACTGGGAAAGGCATCAGTATCAAGTGTGCTGATTTGGACAGAAAGAATCCATGCTATCTTACAAAAAACTAAGATCTAAACTAAACATCTTTTCCTCAAATAACAGGGGCTACTGAGGTGGTGGGGATAATGCACAAGGCAGAAAGTCATTGAAATCCAAAATTAGTTTCCTTTTGCACTCATAGCTCACAACTGGATTTAATTCTTTNGTCTGGGTCCTCATTTTACCCACCTCGGAAGGATGGAAGGCTGAATCAACCCTGAGCCGGTGAGATTTGAACCGCCGAACTGCAGATAACAGTCAACTGAAGTGGCTGCAGTACAGCACTCTAACCACTGTGCCACCTTGGCTCTTAAATCTTGATGATATGAGGGATAAGAGCAATTGTGCAATAATCAGAGCAATTTTTAGAGGCAGCCCTTTCCAGCAGTGGAATGAACACTGAACATTTCCAATCCTATGGCCATGTCTTGGTTTCTCAAATTTTCTGGCATAGATCTCGATCAACTGTGGGTGGTGCAATCTCAATAATTCTCCAAGGATAGTGTCAACACCTGGAGTTTTGCTGTTTGACAGTTGGTTCATTGCACATTAGACTTCAGTTACAACTCTGATAACCTTCACTACAGAAACTCTGTTGGGATTATGATCATTGCCAAATTTGGGAGACAATTGAGATAGTTCTGGTTTGATCTTACTTCTTCTCTCTCTCTAATCCAGCTTCACTACTTTTTGAGAAACATCCATTTTAATAACAGTGTGGGAGAAGAAATCTTTTTTGATGAGACGGGAGACTTTGACCCAAGATACGATATCTTCAACTTGATCGTCTTTAAATCTTTCCAGAGAGTCCATGTTGGAAGGATGGACTCCAGAGCTCCTGAGGGAAAAATATTCACCCTCAATGAAAGTGCCATTGTGTGGAATCACAAGTTTCAGCAGGTAGGACTATTTGTGGCATTGAATGTTAAGTAGGTTATAAACTTTGGAGGAAAATACTTTTGTTTGATCACCACTGTGGACCACTCTACAAGTAAAGAATAATGATGATATCCTGGAACCACATTGTTTTGCTGGATATTTGATGGATCTTCATGAAAATATCTACATGGAAGTTTTTGTTTATTATTTTCAGTTGTGTTTTGGAATGCATGTGAGAGAATAATATTTCCATTTCCATTTGTGTTTTTTTTTTAAATTTTTGTGCTGCTAATTTTTTGAATTTGATTTGATTTTTTATTTTTTGATTTTATTCACATTTGTAGGCCGCCCTTGTCCCTGAGGGGACTCATGGCGGCTCACAAAAAATCAGGGGGGGGGGAAGTACAAACAGTAACATAGACACATATAATAAAAGCAATAAAAGAATTAATTCTT